AAAAAAAAAAAAAAAAAAAAAAAAGGGAACAGCTAAGAAACTGGCTCAGTCCAAAGGAGCCTATGGAAACATGACAACTAACTCTAATGTAGTATCTTGGAGAGGATCCTAGAACAGTAAAAGGAATTAGGAAAAAACAAGGAAATGTGAATAAAATATGGACTTTAGTTAATAATAATGTATTAGTACTGGCTTGTCAATTGTAACAAATGTACCATAATAATGGAAGATATTAACAATAGAGAAACTGGGTGTAACACATGGCAACTCTATTATCTTTGCAATTTTTCTAAAACTGCTCTAAAATACAAAGTTTACTTAAAAAGAGAGCGAGATTGAGATCTAAGGAACATAACGAGTTTAAACGCATGGATCTAGGTTAATATAAACCAACCAAAAAAAAGTTATTTTGGGACATTACTTGAGAAATTTGCATAACTGGGTATTAGATGGTAATGGAATCATTATTAAAGGGTTCTTTCCCTCTGTAGATAAGATTTCTTCCACTGTGTAGAGAAACGTTATTTTTAAAAAAATATTCATGCTGAAAAAAGAGCTTTTGTTTGCTCTCAGAATACACTCCAAACTCTCCCGGGGCCTAGATCTAAGCCCCCATAAATTCTGTGCTGTTGATTTCTCTAACCTCACTTTGTACCCCTACTTCACTCACCACAATTGTGCCCATGCTTTACCTCTGCCAGGAATGCCTTCCCATGACGGTGAAAACAGTAGTCCCCACCTCCCTATTGCTCTATCTTATCACCCCTGTTCATTCCCTTAGAGCCTCCATTTTTTGTTTGCTTACCATCTGAATATAAGTTCCTTGAGGGCAGAAACCTTTCTCCAACTATGTTTGCCATCTGTCCCTCATTTGTAACAGTATCTTGATCACACAGGGCATGTCCCAGAAGTATCTGTGCAGTGAATAATTCCACAGGTTTTAGCCCATAAAAACTACAGAGCTGTAAGCCCTTCCCAGTCACCTCTACTTCTCTGGCTATTGAAACGATAAAATAAAGATGTTTAAAAAGAGCACTCTTAAGTTTTTTTCCCCCTTCAAGTGGCTTCAATCCCTTAGGTATGATCTCATCTCTGAACAGGAGGGAGTCCCGGCTGTGAGTTCCAGACCCGACTCAAGCTGGCTGTGACCTGGACAGTGTGTGAAACGCGGGGGTGGCACAGACACTGCGAAGGTCTGCCTTCGCAGCTGAGTGCCTAGGAGATCTCTTTCCTAAAGACACTTCTAATTTATTTACCTCACCACAGCCCAGCATGCATCTGGGCCCCATCCTTACCAATAGCAAACTCCACCAGGGTTTCATTCTCCTCTGACAGCGAATCGAGGAATAAATCAAGGACCTGCAGCTGCCGCAGATACTGGTAGTTGCCGGGATCATAGGCGAAGTTGGCGAGGTTGGCCAGTACTTGCTCCTTGGCGTCTGTAGCGGAAAATAGACACTGGACACCAGTCCGGGGCGGTGGTCGCGGCCCGACCCCTGCCGTTAACCCTGTCACTCTCACCTTGGCTCTTCGTCTCCTGGAATTCCGTGACCAGCGCCTGCAGATATCCCAGCCGCCCGACGTGGGGGTCCACCTTCGGCTTCTGGGCCATGGTCCGGGCGGTGGGGGCCCGGGCGGACGCGCAGGACAGTGTGGGAAGTGAGGCCAGAAATAGGTTCCTTTTCTGGCTTCAGGTTCTGCGCTAATTTGCAGATGGAATTAGATTGTGGGAGATGGCGTGAGGCCTAGGACCTCGTAAGGTGTGGGTGGGAAAAACCTGAGTTGGGGCGCCGGAGACAAGGGTAGAGCTGCGCGCTGGATGTGGCAGCCGCAGAACCCAAGACCCCCAGCTCCAGGGCCTGATTTTCGGCTGGACGCCGGACTTCCGGCGGAAGCCGAGCTTAGTCCCGCCCCGGAGGGTGAAAGGGGCGGGCCAAGGCGGGCGAGGGGCGGGGCCGCCGCTGATCCAGGAGCGTGCGCGGCGCGCTTCATGCGTGCTGGCTCGGGCAGGCGGTAACCCGCTCCGCGAGGGTTGTTGAGGGCGGTGGTGGAGAAGGGCCGCTATGGCCCTTAGACGCTCAGAGGAGCGGGAGGGGCCCATGCGGGGACTGTCGAAGCCGAAGCACTTCCAGAACTCCCTGCACTTCACGATGCCAGCCTCCGCGTCCAAGGGGCGCCCTTTTGGAATGCGGACGTCGGCTCCCTGCGTCTACTACCTAGGTCCTTGGACCCTACCGACCGGCTTTTCCAAAAAGCCGGGCGAGCCTGGTACCCTCTGCTCCCCAGCCCGGAGCTGAGTCTGCCATCTCTGACCAGAAATCTCGGGAACTGGGTACCGTCCTAAGGCTTTTTGTCAGCCGAGTGGACAGGGAGCGCCCGGCAGCACCAACAGGCCGGCCTAGAAGGGGTCCCCGTTCACCCAAATGTTCTGCTTTGGCGGCTTTCAGGGTTGTGGAGTTTTGGATGCTGAAGCTCTTCTGCTCAATTCTCTCTCCGGGCGTCTCAGGAAGGTGGTGTGTGACAGAGACCTCGCAGGTGCAGGGATAGCACCAGGGAGGGAGGGGGCCCTGCCGCATTCCCAGAGTGCTTGCAAATGTGGGGGTAAAGGGAGGTTGGGCTGTGAGTTTCTAAGGAGGCAGGGACTGTGTGCCTTTAGCCCTGGCCCGGCTGTGCGAGCAGAGTACCCACCACACTCCAGCCTGCCACAGCCCCAATGGGAGCAGACCCCATCTCGATGGGCTCAGGGCCCTGCAGTAAGCCCGTCTTAAGCACAGCCCCTGGGGCAGGAACTATGACTGCAGTCTGGGGGCTTGAATACCCTGGTTTGCTCGCAAGGTCCTTTGACTTCTGGGGGGAGCTGATGTGACCTGGGGAAGTAATCTCAGCCCAAGGTGGCCAGGGGGCTTCTTTACTTTTGGCTGGACAGAACAGCAAAAGGGACCAGGAGATCAGATCTTAGGGACAGGATAGAACTGAGCTCTACCCTGCCCTGGTCAGGAACTGTTCCAGACCTTCTCGAGGATTCCCAGATAATCAGCTAAGTGGGTTCTGGAATCAAAAGGGCCACCCCATCTCCCCTCATTTGTCCCCTGCCAAGGTGTCAGGGGCCCTTCTCTTTGGGGAAGGATTCTCAGTCCTTGGTTCTGTGCTGAGAACAGTGACCATGTCCTACTCCTCTCTGCCGAATCCCTGCACACAGAAGATGCTCACTAATATTTGTTGAGGGAATTCTGCCTAGGGATTGCCATTCTTGCCCCAGGGGCAGATGAAATAAAAATTCTGTATGCTAAGAGTTTACTGATACATTTTTTCCTTAAAAGAAATCTGTTTTCAGGAAGTGGGCCTAATAGTGATGCACATTTCAAAGCTTGGTAGCTACTAGCACTAAAAGCACTCACTCAGAATAGCCCCAACTCTCTCCTTTTCCATTCAGTTATGATGGGGAAGGAGAGAGGACCTAGCAAAATGTGTACAAGCAGTTCTCCTTCGCTGCACAGGCTGTAGGTGGTGGCCAAGCAAAGGACTGGGTGGGAAACAGGAAAGCAATGGGATCTTCAGGATCAGACTTTTCAAACTAGACAAGACATTAGCTTATCGAGGTCCATCCTTGCCCTTTTTCAAGGCCTGGAGATGTTAAACAATTGCCCAAAGTCATACAGCACATTGTGGCAAAGCCAAACATTAACTTGGGTCTCTGTCCCAGCCCAGAGCCCTTTGCCTGGCCAGAGCGCTATCTCCTTTGGCCATAAGGAAGCACTCATGGCAGGGTCCTGGAGAAGACGGTGTCTCCAAGGATGCTTACTCATGCCGGCTGGACAAGTGGAGGAGGAAGGCTTGAGTTGGGTTACAAAATAAAATTGAATTTCCTGTTAATGTTTTCTTGTTGGAGCCTGGTTGAGCCTGAATCAACAAACAAGTTCCTGGGCTGAAAAACCCCTGCCGAACTGAGAGAACTGAAGGGGGCAGGGGACTTGCTCCAGGCCTGTTTTCCAGCTTCATTAATTCAGAGGGTTTATTACCTGCTGCAGGAAATATTTTCTGTGTGTAATTCAAACAAACTCTGTTTTTCCATTGTCTCAGTTGGTAAGCTGCTGGCACAAGCCTGGGCTGAAGATAGCCGCCAAGGCCACTGAGTGGTGACCTCAGGGAAGGGCACCAGCAAAGAGTGTGTGTGTGGATCACTGAGCTCCAGCCACAGGCGCAGGCCAACAGCGAGCAGGGGTGGGCTGGCAGCTGGCCTGCCCTGCTGCTTACCCCCAGTTAACAACTCTGACACAGCAGGGAGAAGCCAGGAGAGGGGAAAGGAAGGCTTCTGCTGCAAAAGCAGCTCCATTTTCACAGGGGTCCATGGGCCCTGCCCAGCAACCCTTCCCCTTCCCCTGATTAGTCAAGCCCCACCCCAGCACAAATCTTCCTGGCCATGTTACCGGTAGGGTGAAGGAAGGTGACCCTGTAGCAGGCCCTGCTGAGAGTGTAGGGGACCCCTCAGACTTCACTGCTTCTAGGACCCAAGCCAGGAGCTCCCTTCTTTGCACAGGGCCAGAGCAGGTACTCCACCCCACATTTAATCTGTCCGAATCCTGCATCCAGGCCAACTTCTCACCTGGCCCTTCACCACTGCGGGCCATAGCACATTCTCTCCCAGTGCCCTTCTTGCCAAGGTTCCAATCAGTATGGGGCCTTGCAACTTGTGTTGGGGGCAGCCATCAGGCAAGGGCTGGGTCACTGGGGCATCAGGGCAAGGGCTAAGTTCCAAGAGGGTCTTAGAGCAGTGCTGAGCTCTCTGGAACTGTCTGGAGGCTGGAGGGCAAAGATCATATTGGAGCACCCAGGCTGAACTCGAGGGTCCAGTGTGTTGAGTTGTAGCAGCAGTAGTGGACAGCCAGCTGAGCTAAGCTGGCTGTGACAGGCCTGAGGCAGGCCTCAGACCCACCTTCCTGGGCCCCAGGTACTCTGCTACCCAAGGGGAAAATTCAGGAGGACCTGCTCCTGGATTCTGCTAATTAGAAGGAAACCTGAGTCTTTGGAGGCCAGCCTTCAAGGTCCCCACTCCTGACTGTGTCCCAAAGTACAGAGCCTGGATGGTCTTTGGCTCTGGGCAGTCCTTCACCCCAGCCCCTGGCAAAGTCGCTGGGCATCCCATTCCTGGGCTGAGGCTGTGGTCACACATATGATCCCAGGGGTCAGACGCTGGTCACGTACACGATCTCAGTGCACGGTCGCTTCTCAGAACCATCTGTGCCCTCTACGATGAGGTTCCGCTCTGGGGCCACCTCTGGGATGGTTCCTTCGGCCTTCACCTCTCTGCCTTTCTTCTCCTTCTTCTGCAGGGCATAGAAGCTACCACCCATGAAGAGGGCAGCTGAGATGAGGAAGAAGCTTGACATGTAGAAAAGATAGCTAAAGTTGGTGGTGGTGTCCAGAACGAACCCTGAGGGACAGAGAATAAGTTAGACCACTTCCCAGAGCTACCAGGCCTCCCCTCCACTAGGGGAGACTGTTTGTCCAGACTGTTCCCCGTGCCCCAGCCCCAGCCCCAGCCCCTGCCTGCCCAGGCCACGCCCTTGAACACCTGGCTTCCCAACTCCCTTCCAGGGCCTCACCAGCCAGTGGCGGGGAGATGAGAATGGAGATGCTCTCTAGGATGGTGAAGAGGCCCAGGGCACTGGAGAACCGGTCCATGGGGACAATGTCCATGAGGACCTGAAAGAGGAGGGCACCAATGCCACTCGTGGACACACTAGATACCAGGCAGTAAACCACCAGCACCCGGAAGTCAGCTGATGCCGCACACACCAGGCTGGCGAGCCCGCTGAGCAGGGTTGCCAGGCTGAACAGGTATTTGCGGTAGCCAGCAAAGTTCTGCCTGCCTGCCACCAGCCCAGCCATGGGCCGCAGGAAGATGTTGCTAAAGCCGATGATGGAGACAAGCAGGGCCGCCCTGTGCTCATCCACCCCGTGCCACAAGGCGTATGGCACTAGGAAGACATGTGGCAGGACGAGACCCAGGACCATCCACATGACACCCAGCGTGTACACGCGGTAGCCTGCATTGTGCCACAGGATGTCGAAGGCCAGGTAGCTCCGGATGGTTCGACCACACGCTGTCAGGCAGCCGGGCGCAAGTGTCTTGGAAGGTGGAAGTGGGCCTTCTATGGTCTCAGGAGCCAAGCTGGTAGCTACAGGCCTCAGGATGGCCCCGCTGACACAGCAGTGGAGAAAAACCCCGCCGAAGACAAGGAAGGTGCCCCTCCAGCCCAGGTCCTCCAGGAGATAGCGGGAGAGCAGCGGCCAGAGTGTGATGCCCAGGGAAACTCCCACCGAGGCCAGCGCATTGGCCAGCGCCTGCCGGCGGCTGAAGTAAAAACCCAGCACCGTGATGGTTGCCTGGAAGCTGAAGCACAAACCCAGGCCTGCAGAGGGAGAGGGGAGACAGCGTGAGGGTGTTCTGGGGCCTGCCTCCCACACCTAGAGTGAGGTCATGGGGTCATGTCCCACGTTGGCCCTCCTTCCATCCTACCCCAGATGCAATTCCAGGTCCCCAGGGATTTAAGATGGCCTCAGCCAGCTTGCCACCTGCCTAGAAGTGTCTTGTCCCTCACATCTGCCCTCCTAAGGCTGCCAGGGGCACACCCATCCCCTTTGGCAAAACATTTCAGGGGGATCTTTAAAAATCTAAATTAGGTTCGGTCTCTCTCCTGCTTAACACCTTCTGAAGACTTCCCATCATGCCCAGAAAACATCCAACGTATTTACCATGTCCTGGAAGGCCCTGCACAGTCTGGCTTCTGGTCACCTCTTGGGTGCCATATAGGGCCACTCTCCCTGTCACTCACCAGAATCAAGTCACACCAGCTTCTTTCCCTTCCTCTGGACAACAACCTGCTCCCTACATCAGGACGTTTGCAGTTGCCATTCCCTCTGCCTGGAATATGCTTCCCCCAGACTTCCGTCCCCTGACTCAGCTCAGATGCCACCTCCCACCGACTCCGTGCCTGCCCCCGCACAGCTGAGCATGCTGCAGAGAAAGCTCAGCCCTCCATGACGACCAGCCTCAGGTGGGCCCTCCAGCCACCAGTGATGCCCCTACGGTTCCCTTGTCTACTTATTCTCCTGCCCTCCAAATAGTCACCGGGCCTCTTTCCTCCATGTACCCTGACATCACTCCCCTGCCAGCCGGCCTCCTGTGACAACGCGGTAGCCTGCATTGTCAAGGACACAATCAAACAAGCACATCCCTCCAATAATTTCCCTGTCTCTGCATCATCCATTTTCCCTCTTTGCTATATCATTCTCCTTCATTGTTATTTCTCTCATTAAAAAACAAAGCAAAACCCTCTTTTGGCCTCACAGCCTCTCCTGGGTACTGGCTCATTTCTCTGCTCCCCTTACACCAAAATTTCTTGGAAATATTGTTTATCTGCACTGTCTCCAGTTTCCGTCCTGTTCTCTTTCGAACCTATTCCAATCAGAGATTTTGCTCTGGAGTTTTTCTTACCAAGGTCACCAATCTCTGTGTTGCCAAATCAAGCATCTGAGCCTAGTCCCTACTCCAGCTAATCACTCCCTCCTCCTTGCACACTTTCTCCACTTGCTTCCTCAGGAAGCCCCACTCCCCTGTTCTCCTTCCCCACCTCTGTCACCTCTTCCTGCGCAGACTGCTACACACTGGAGTGTCCTGCAGCTCAGTTCTTAGGCCTCAGTTGTCCACCCTCATTCCCTTAGTGCCAGCAGGGCAACATCCCAAGACTTGAATACCAGCTATCTCATGATTCGCCAGCTGCCCACTCCAGCTCAGGGCTTGTTCCCTGAACTCCAGACCGGATACTCCAAATCTGAGTTCTTCGTCCTCCTGCACACCAGGCAAAAAATTTGGTGTTACCCTTGGCTCTGGAAACGCGTGTGATCTTTGACTCTTCTCCGCACCTCACGTGCAATCCTGAACCTAACTACTTCTCTTCTCCTCCACTATACTACCTGGCTTAAGGTATAACCACCTGGGTTAAGCCCATGCCCCTACCTCTTCTCCTGCCCCTGGTTTAACCCCCCTGCAGCACGTTCTCGACTGCAGCGGGAGTAGTGCCCTACAAAGAGTGGTTGGATGACATCGCTTGCCACTCTGCCCAAAACCCTCAAATGACTTCCCATCTTACTACAAAGCCTTTTAGGAACTAAGCCCCCATCTGCCCTCTGCCCGCCCTGTTTGACCCCCCTGTTCACGCCCCTCTATCCCACTGGCCACCTCAATGCCCTGGGAGCACCTCTGGTCCTTTGCACTTGCTGTTCCCACTGCCTGGAATGCTCTTCCCGGGAAGGCCTGGTGGCTGACTGCCTCACCTCCATTCGCTGTCTGCCCAAGTGTTACTGTCTCTGCAAGGCCTTCCTTGAAGTCCCTGTTGAAAATAGCAACCTACCCCAACCCTGCTTTATCTTCTAAGTTCTAGATATTCTACACCTACGTCCTTCCTTGTTGACTCTCTGCCCACTCCCACCCCAAGCCGGGACACTATCACATCAGCTGTCCTGTCTTCTCATGTGCTTGTCATGATCAGAAATAATCTTTCTTATTTATCTTATGTAAGTAGCCCCAGAGATTAGAAGCTTTGCCAGCTCTGTTCACTTGTGCCTGGCACTTTCTAGTACGTGCCCAGATATTCGTGAAATGGAATGACAGTCACCTGTGATGAATCCTGCTGTGAGGTAGAACTGACTAAGGGTGTAGCAGAAGGAGCTGGCCACCATGCCCAGGCTGGCCAGCACGCCCCCCAGCATTACCGTCACTCTGCAGCCAAAGCGTCCCACCAGCACGCTGCACAGGGGTCCTGTGGGGAGGAGACAGGGAGGGGCAGGGATAAGGGGCCAGCCAGCAGGTGGCAGCTGACTGAGGTCTGCAGGGAGGGGGAGAGTGAAGCAGGGAGGAGGGGCTTCCACCAGGCCAGGTGGCTTAAAGGGCAGGATCCCTGGAGCCCTCAAGCCTGGATTCTGATCCCCACCCTGCCACAGACTGGCTATGGGTCCCAGCAAGGCCCATCCCTCTCTGTGTCTCAGTTTCTTCCCCTACATAATGGGGGGTCAGACTGCGTAAGGTGTAAGGGCAGGGCCTGTATTGTTCAGTTTGACACTGAAAGAATCCCCAGAAGGACAGACTGAGGCCCTTGGCTGCACTGACATGAAGCCTCTTAGTATACAGGTGAAAGAGGACTGGCTCATGACCTAGGTGGACAGCCCTCGCTGGCGGTCTGTCTTGGTAGGCGAGGGTCCCAGGGCATCTAAATCACGGTGAGCATTTCCAGCCCCTGCTCTTCTTTCCCGGACCTTCCAAAAGTTGGGCCACAGTCCTCTCACCACCATCCGACCTGTCTACAGTGGACAGCCTGTCCTGGGGCCCTGGGCCACTCTGTACCCTCTTGCACTGGCCTGTGGAGCGCTCTGTACCATCTCCCCTCCCCATCACTTCCAGCCCCCAGTCTTGCACCCAGATGTTTGTCTCCCGGTGGAGAGGGCCCTCCTCCACCCCACCCCTACCCTGACCTGTGTTCTCACTAGCCCAGACCCAGAGTAGAAATGAGCCAGTCCTGGCCGGCTGCCCCCGGCAGCTGGCAGGGCCCCATTCACCAAGTTCCTTGCCCCCAGTATCTTCAGAGCTACTCTCGCAGTGCGCAAAGGGACAGGGAAAGTGTGTGTTTGTGTTTGGGGTGGAGAGGGGCTGTGTAGGTGTTAGCCAGTATGAGTGTGGCTGTGACAGAGGAAGTGAGCAGCCTGTCCTCACGGATAATTAAGCGGAGGCAGCTGTAGAGAGGTGAGGCTTTGGAATGACCACCAAACCCCCACGTCCTCCCCACTCCCAAGCTTCGGCCTGACTTAGGAAAGGTGACATTGGGGAAAGCCCTGAGTCATGGAGTTGGGGCAGGGGCTGGGACATCAGCAGCTAAGCTGAGAGCGCAGGGTGCTGGGGTGGGGGCGCTGGGAGGCGGAGGCACTGCCCCTGCCCCTAACTCACTCTGCAACTTTGTGCAGTCCTTGCATTTTGTGCTTGCTTCCCGCATCTCTGAAACGCCTGGGATCAGGAGTACTTTCAAGTTAAAAATTTCTACAATACTCTGAATGAGCGTAACCTAAAGGTGTGTGTGTGTGTAAGAGAGACCAACAGACAGACAGGAGTTCCAGCAGGCCCATTGGGATGGTGGTGTGCCCGCCACAGGGTGGTGAGTCTACAGCTGTCTGGGGAGTGGAGTTCCCCACTGGATACCTGGTTCCCAGCCCTTGGCCCAAACCTCTCTCGGGCTACTTAGAAGGAAACATCTGAGATTCCCACTTCTGCCCCAGCTTTGTAGGCGAAAGAGCCATGTGGTCTGGGGTAGGCCTGGCCTTTCCCTTTGCCCTGAGCCCATGTCCAGGTGGTAGGTTCAGGAATCATCCCAGCAAGGGTGTCATCTATCCCAGTCTGACCTCCCACCGAATTGGAGGTTGGGACCTGGAATAATAAGCAGACTGCTGGTGCCAGGTGGAGGGAGTGGCAGGAGGTAGGCAGGAAGATGGGGTCATCTGAGGCAAGCAAATACGTGCATGGGGAGAGCCCTGTGGGGCCTGACGTGAGATCTGACGCCAGTTGACAGGCACTTCCCTTGAGGAGAGCTCCCAGGAACAGGGGGCAGGCCCTAGCCAAGGCTACTGTAGAGCCCTTCCCCCTGGGCTGGGGTCAGGGTGAGGGGGTCACATTCCTGGAGGAGCCAACCAGGAAATGAAGGAGGGCCTGCCTTCCCTCCGCCTCCCCAGCCCTTGCCAACCACTCATGCTGCTTCCTGGTGGGGGATAGGCTTCTGCCCTGACCCCATCTTGCTCCTGATGTCTTCCTCTATTCCCCTTTCCTGTTCTGACGCCCCCTGCATGAGGGTCTCCAAGTAATAATAATTGCTAGTACTAGGCTTACATTTCCCTAGCACTTAGCACCTGCTGGGGTGTCTCATGTGAGCTTCCCTGTGATCCCCGGTGAGAGGAGAGTAGGATGCTGCGTGTTACCTTCATACTGCACAGAAAGAGGCTGAGATTCAGAGACATCGCCCAGGCACCCCCACAGTCTGGATCCATCCTCCAGGGGCCAGGAGCCACACTGCGAAGACTGACTTTGCATCTTGAGTGCCTCTCCACCCTCCTTGTCACCTCAGCCTGCCCAGCCCAGTGGGATTCCAGCAGGGTTTGTGGGGGTGGGGGCCTGGCCATGCTGAAATCAGGTGAAATCTTAGGAATTCACACTGAGAGGCAAAGCCCATGGCCTCAGAAAGAGGTACCAGGAGGCCAGGGAGGCTGTGGCTTCCTCCCGGACCCCAGGCTCTTCTTCATCCCTCCCCCTCCCCAGTCTGCTCACCCCCCGCATGGAGCATGGCTGTCAGGATGGAGGGGAACCAGGAGGTCTCACTGTTGCTGGCCTGGAACTCATGCTGCAGTTCGGTGAAGAAGATGCCAGCGCATGTGGGGAAGCCCAGGGTGAGGCCTTGGGTCACCAGGGAGGCCACCAGTACCACCCAGGCCCAGCAGCCCTCTGTGCGCTCCCGGATCTGGGGCATCCTCTGCCTTGAATGCTGTTTGTCACGGCTTCACGGCTGTTTCCACTGCCTGGGCCACCTGAAGAGGGGACAGAATGGAGCTGCCAGCCTGGTCCACCTGCTGGCTTCCCTGGATGGCTGAGACTGTCCCTTCTTGTCCCAGCACCAGGGATCACAGAAGGGCACCGCCCCTGGGAGGTGGCCTGAGGCCCACACGTTGGCCTTGGCATCTCCTTTCACCCAGCCTGGCAGGAGGGGCAGGCAGGGGAGCAATCAGAGGGGCACAGTAGGTGGGTGGAATTCTTTCTAGTTGTTACGCCATTTGGTGTTCAGGAGGTAGGACGAGCCTTGGGCCCCTATGCGCAGTAAGCACTCAGCAGCTGCTTGTAGAATGGAACAGGCCTCCAGAGCCAGCGTGGTCCCAGAGCCGCCATAAGCACACACACCATCCGTTTTCAAATATTCATATCCAGGCTTCCTGCACACAAACACAGACTTTCGCAATGCCACCTTAATAGCTGGGCTCACTGTCAGTGCTATTGCGAAGGCCGAGGTGAGCAAGCTGGGGCTGGGTGCAGCCAAGGAATGTTCACAAAAGGGCTTCACAAGGGCACCAAGCAGGTGGTTTTCAAGGAGAAGGCCAGATCTCATCCGAAATCCCCCTCCGATGCCCCTTTTACAAAGAACTTGTGCTGAGTAATGATCCACCACCTGCAAGGGCTTCTCTGAGCACCCATCACACATGAACACACACACAACACATACACAGTCACAAGGAGACATGTACCAAGATGCACACTCACACAAACAAGCAGAGACAGACATGCCCTAACACAGACATACATGGAGACACACACATTCCCACAGACAGATGGGGACACACACAGCCACAAAGGCACACAGGCTTACAGGCAGACACACACCCACACGGAAGAGTCTGGAAACACACAAACACACACACAATCACACATACGGACACACATGGACATATACAGGGACATACACATAGACACAAGCAGACAAGCCCAGAGACACAAACAAATGAACACAGACACATGTTACACAGACACACAAAAACAGTCATACACTGCAGACAGACACACACACACACACACACACCCTCATGCCTCTGGCTCAGTCCTATCTCAGGTCCTTGCCCCCACCCAGCCACTACCTGTCATCACAGAAGCTGCCACAAACCAGGCCAGAGCCCCAAGGCCAGCTCCCCAAACGCAGGGCCCGTTTCCAGTCCCCTCTGTCCTGGCTGTCCTCCTGCTCCCGGGTCTCCTCCACCTCGGACCTCACCGGCACCGCACCGGGCTCCAGGCTGCCGCAGGACTCGGTGAAGCCAAAGGAACCCATAAGCTACTGTTCCCATAAGCTACCGCTCCCTCCTTTTGGCCCCAGGTCCTGGGAAGATCCATGGAAACTTGGGAAACATCAGAAATATGAAACCCCTCTTCCTGCCAAGCCCGGCACCCCACACCTTACCCCCAGGGCCAGGAGCTGTAAACTAGCAGGAAGCTAGATCCACCCTGAACTGCCTCCTGCTTGTGCACCTCTCTCTTCTCTGGGCACAAAGCCTCCTCCCTCCCCGAGGACACTGCTAAGGTGAGCACCCCATTCATCCCAGCCTTAAGGGGTGTGTGTGTGTGTGTGTGTGGCCTTGAGCCCCGTGTGGGGGCTGGGAGCACTCCTGCCCTCTGGGTCCTGCATGTGACACAGGTCCTAGATATCTCTCAGCCCAGATCGATGGCCCTGGCCCAGCTCCGGTCTTGGGGCAAACCTCAGATAAGGGCTCCCCAGAAAACTGGCTCTCGCCCCTTTCAGGATTTGTTTCCTCAGCAGATGGAAAGGCCACCCGTGCCGCCTGATCTTCTCTGTGCTGGCCTGAAGGGCAAGCGTCCACAGCCTTCTCCACAGTCACCCCTCCTCCCTGACACATCCTGGCCCCTCGGTCCTCCTGGACCTGCCACTTTTCCCTCTTCTTCCCAGAAGGGCCACCAGCCTTTCTCTGCTGCCAGCTTCCTCCCGCCCCTCCCTTCTCTGCTGCCCACCCCTCCTCCCCCAGCCCCAAACCCTGACAGTTTCTCTTCAGAGCAGCATGCTGACCAAGAGGTGGCACCTGGAGCCTGGAGGCCGGGCCCAGCTCATCCGCTCCCCAGCTCTGGTCCCTTTCTGCTCATCCTTGTCCTGACCTTCTATGGAGAGCTCTCTTCGGCGCCCTTCTCGGCAGATAATTCTCTGGGAAGCCTCTTTGAGGACTTTGTCCAGGTCTCTGACCTTCACCCTGGATCCACACTCCCTCCAAACCTGTTGTTGGGGCCAGGGCTGGCTCTTACAGATTTCCTCCCTCCCGGGCTCCTGGGACAATCAGCCCCGGAAACCCTAAGCACCTTTGCTATCTCTCTGCACGCTGTGAGCCCTGCCTCCTGGTCCGAGGGCCCCTGGCCTCCCTCTGGGAGCTCCCCTGCACACTGGGCCCTCTGTGAGGCGGCCATCCCCTCGCATACCCCCAGCAACTCCCAGGTCACACATAGATTTTATGCCCAGTTGGCCCTCCAGCCCCCTCCCCCAGCAAGCTGGCCCCTCCTCAGAAACTTGGCTGCCGAGTTCCCAAAATTCTTACCAGAAATTAGTCTGGTTGATCCTTCAAGGTTCAGCCTGGCAGCACTCCTAGGAGTGCTCCTTGCCCCCCGTCACCCTCCCCAGGCTGGGCTGGTCCCCCTCCTCTGTTTCTCTCCTGAATAGTTGACCCACATTGGACTGGATCATTCCCTTGTCATCGCTGATGCCCCTGCCCCTTATCCCATCTACACTGTGAGCAAGGACCCGTACACACCTTCCACCCGGCCTCGGCTGAACACAGAGGATATTAATGTGACCCACCTGTGCTCCCCCAGGAGCAGGCAGGTCTAGGACCAAGGGTGACCTGGCTTCTGGGCAGGCAGGTCCATTCCAGAAGACTCAGCACAGCCAGCAAGAGGGGACTGGGGGTTCTGGCTCCGCCTCTGCCCCAGCAGGAAGCAGCTTTTCCTCTGTACTGGGAACCCTGAGTCTGGTGCATGGTCAGGGCAGGAAGACATGGCTGCGGACACTTCATTCTCACCTCATAGGGCTGCAGGTGAGCAGAATTCCATGGGAGCTGCCTACCCCAGCTCTCAGGCTCCCCCAGCCCAGAGTGAGACCACCTTCATGCCCAAGTGTCAGGAAGCTGGGCTGTGGGCAGGGCACAAGTGCAGATGACATTCCTTGTCCTCCATTGCAACGAGCCCCTGGTCTGTTGTTAGGAGTTTCCATCTCCTGACAAGGACCCCACTAGGCCCTCAGAATCCCTTCCCTGCCCCCCTGAGCTCGCAGGCAGGGCCGCAGCAGAGAGCCCACACTCTCATGCAGGGGTTTGGGGTCAGGGGGCTGGTGTCCAGAGTGGAGGGGCCACTTCCTCTCCCAAGGTGGGAGACAGTAAGAGGAAAAGGGTGAACCACCCCCAGAGCCCTGAAAGGATGAGCAGCTCCGGAAGACCCCTGTCTCCCCAGACCCTGAGTCCGGCAGGCTTCCTGGCCTGGAGTCCAGGACGCAGGGCTGTAGGGGTACTGTGAGAACCATTCTGAGCCTGGGGCTCACAAGTTCCCAAACCCCTCACAAGTTCCCAGAGGCCCCGGAAGGAAGGAGGGGGTTCCAGAGATCTATCAGAGGATTAGGTCACCCTCCTCCCTTCTCTGCCCCAAAACATACCCCTACATTTCCCGCAGGGCCAGCTGAACACAGGGGGGTGGGACAGGCAACAGGGCCTTCAGGACCTGTTCTCAGCCTGTCCGCCAGTGTCTACCCGGCTTTCCCACCGTCTCCAGGATGGCTCTCCTCTGGATGGGGCTTCTGGGGTGCCCAGACTGCCCGTGGAGATTTCAGACCAGGCCTTGGGTGGTGCCCGAGCCTCTCCCAGTATTCCCTCCGCAGGTCGTGGAGGGCAGGGTCACTCCGGAGAACCCCATCCGGCGGGCGGGGCGGGGGGTGTCCCCACCACCCCGAGCTGGGGAGGCCCAGGAATAGGCCAGGACTTTATGGATGCTCACCCAGAGCCGGTCACGGGCGCGAAGGCCCGGGAGGCCCACGGCGGGCGGGCCTGCGACGGCTCTGTCGCCCGGCGGGAGGACGCCCGGGGCTTGCGGACCCAGGGGCCCGCTCACCGGCTCGCACGCCCGGCGCAGTGGCGCCCCACTCCCGCCAAGCCCGCCCGCGGTGGAGGCGGCCGGACGCCGGGGCGGGCCGCGGGCACCGGCCCAGATCCTCGGCCCCCGAGGGGCGGGCCCGCCTCCGAGGAGCCGAGGAGGGGGAGGCGTGGGCAGGGCCCGCACCCCATCTCAGCCAGGCCCAGCCCTCCGAGCCGCCGGCGCGGTCCGGGAAGTCCGGCGGGCTGCGGGGCCGGCTCGGCGGCTCTATTTGCGTGTCGTTAGCATGTAATTTGCATAGCCCGCAGGCCTACTTTCGCGCCAGTGGATTTTCCCGCTCCGGTTTCTAAGTCCCCAGGAGCCGGAGGGAGAAAACGTGTGAAAAAGAGAGTGCAACTCCCTGCGGAGTGGTGCGGGAGGCCAGGGCTGCCCAGAGACCAAAGCCTGGAGCTTCCAGGGCTGCACCCAGGGGCAACCCCAGGAGGCCGCTGCAGGGGAGCCGCGAAGAGGCTGACGGCTCAGCCCTGGGGGCAGGTCCGAGGACGCCAGCCACCTCCGCACGCACCCCTCAGAACTGCAGGTCCTTTCCAGCGTCTTCCCGACCTAGCCAGCCCTCCACATACATCATTTAAAGTTCATTCAATTATTACAAAGTTACAGTAATCAACACAATGTGACCCTAGAGTTTTAGAACAGACATACAAATCAATGGAGCAGAACTAAGAATAAACCCTTACATTTATGGTCAGTTGGTTTCCCACAAGAAAATGAGGGACATCGCTGTGACAATCAGGTGTGGAATACAAACACCGGGAGAAGGGGATAGGATCCATTAAAGTTTATCCATGGTTTGAGAGGCGTGACCCCAGGCCTTGGGGGGGTCCAATATAGGGGACAAAGGGGATCATACTCAGGATCTACACCAGCTCAGCACTCTTCGCCTCAGCCTGGCCCAGACCTCTGAATGGCAGTGCCTGCCTCTGGGTACTCAGAAGAGGCTGGATGCAGCCCTCCACCCCATCCCTGGGTACTCTGATGGGACCCAGGGACTCAATACCCAGGGATTTCCTGAAGGCTCTTACCCTGTCTGAAAAAAAACTCAACCAGGGAGGTTTCCCAGGATCCCACTGTCTTCCAAGGGACCTCACCTTTACCTTCAATCTCTACTTCACCAAGATGAAGTCGATAGAGCTGTGGGACACTCCAACCATCCTGGACTCTAGTGTGTCTCCCACCAAGGTGAGTCTCCCACCAGGCTGGTCACTGTGGCTATAGTACTCAGAGCCAGGGTCTGTGGCTCCCACAGACAGTCCCACAGCCTTCTTCTGTGACTCTGTCCCCCAATTGCAGATCTGAGTGCACAGCCTTAGTCACAGGCCCAGTTTTGTTAGAGCTTACGGCAGCTGTCAATAGGGGTGGTGTGTGTGTGTGTGTGTGTGTGTGTGTGTGACCTGGGACCTAGAATTGGAAGGGCCATGATCTGATAGAAAGGGAACTGAATCCTTTTTTCAAAAGGAGAGGGAGGCACCTGCTCAAAATCATATATTTTTAGATACTAATAGAGAGTAATTAGTTAACAGCACAATTGCCATACATCAGTAATAATCAGCACCACCACATTCTAGTGATGGTCAGCTGAACCCCCTGAGATCTTTGCATGTGCATGGTTGTTCCCTTTCCCTGGCACACTCTCTCCTGATGGTACTTGTCTTTACCTGGTTGGCCCCTCATTGACCTTCAGGTATCAGCTTAGGAGCCCCTTCCTCCAGGAAGGCCTCCCAGACCTCTTAAGTTGAGGCATTCATCATGCTGGGTATTTTGTGTCTCCCACACTAAGCTCCCTGAGGCTTAGGAGCGTTCTTGCCTGGTTGATCAGCACTTCTGCAGCACCTAGCACAGTGTATAGCACAGAATAACAATAGCCATAACAAGAGTCAACATGTATGGGGCACACGGTTCTAAGTGCGGTCCACACATTGACTCACTGGCTCAAGGAAGGAATGGAGTATTGCCCACTGAAGTCACTCCTCATTCCTGTGTATTTCCCAGGATCTGGGATCCTTAAAAAATACGTTAATTACTTGAAAGCTCCAGGATGGGTTCCTGATCTTTCTGCCCCTCTCCCCAGCTTTTGGCCTCTGGCTGTGACCCTGTGGTGTCCCTGGCATAGCCAGAGTGACCCTTTGCACTGTCACAAACAACAAGTAAAAACAGAAAAAACTCCATCTGAAAGATAAGATTGCATTTTAAAACCCAAGAAGTCAAAAAATTGGTTTCTTAACATAACAGCCAATAACTCAGCCCACCTTGGGAGCAGGACAGGCAGTCTTGACTGATAACGCTCCCAAACCAGGAAGCTGCTCTCCTGGGAGGGGACCAAAGCAGCAAATTTCTTGTGCTAAGTTAATTTTGCAGAATTACCTAGAGGACTGAAAAGAAACTTAATGTCTCATCAAAGATACGTGAGACCACATAACAAGCCCTCACCCCTAGCCCTTTTTAACATTCCTGAAAAATCCTTAAAAGGGGGAACCCCCAACCTTTCAGTGCCCTCCTCTCTCTGAGGTTGCCCGCGCTTTCTAAGTAACTTTAAATAAAACTTTTACTCTGCTTCATTACTGTGTCTCTGCCCTTCAAGTCTTTGTTGCAGCGGGGACAAGGACCGCGGAAAATACACAACGTTCCCCCAACACCACCAGCCTCCCCACCTTCCTCTTCAGACTGGGCCCCACCTCTGTTCTCCGTTCCAGGGCCTCTCCCTCCTTCACCCTCGCGGTCACATCCAGCTAATCAACTTCTGCTGACTCTCCCCTCGGGAGTCTTGCTCTTTTCTCGTCTTCTCTTTTCCTTTTCCAGCCCACACTCTGACACTGAGCCTTGATGGGACCTCTCTGCCAGCCCCAGCTCCCCCACCCCTGACGGACTTCCAGATTCACTTTCCGAAAGCAACCTGCTTCCCACGCGCTGCGCTGGAAAGCCTCCCTGGGCTTTGGGCTCCTGAACCGCTCCGCCTGCGCCTCGGCGGGGCTCTGATGTGCCCACCCATTTCCGGATACTCACAGCCCTTGCGCCCCACAGCGCACTCATCCAATTCGCCTCCTCCGCCCCGCCATGCCACTGTGCGTCCCTGCCCTCCCTCCCCCTCCTCGTGCCCTCAGTCCCCCTCCAGAGCCTTCTCTCTCCTGCCACTCAGCCTGGTCAGGCCACTCCCCGGAGGGCCTCCCTCCGTGGTGTGTTCAAGTTCAGATTTCTTTCGGCTCCTGGTTTCCTGCTGGCCCCACCCTTCCCTTTGCTCCAGCCTTGCATGGCATTGAGTCTCCTCCCTGCTTTCACACAGGTGCCACCCCAGTGCATAACCCCAGCTGTGAGAACACCTGTTTGTGACGATGAGGGCCAAGGGCCACCTCCTCTAGAGAGTCCTCCCTGGTGGGCCCTGATGTCGCAGCTTCCGGAGAGCCAGGACCACCCAGGGGATGATCCCCTTTGGTGTCTTTAGCACCTGGCAGAGCACCCAACACATCACACTCGACAGGTGCTGCGTTGGGTTCCTGGAGGTGATGTAACAAAGGACCACAAACAGGGGGACTGAAGACAACAGAAGTGTATCGTCTCACAGCTCTAGAAGCTAGAAGTCCGAGATCGAGGTGTTGGCAGGGTTGGTTCCCTTTGCGGTGCTGAGGGGTCTGTTCCAGGCTGGGCTCCCAGCACTCCGGGCCAGCCTCGCTTGCAGATGCATCACTGCAGTCTCTGCCTCTGACTGCGTTGCATTCTGTGTCTCTGTTTTCTTATAAAGACACTGGTCATTGGATTAGGGCCCACCCTACTCCAGTATGACCTCATTTCAACTCATTACATCTTCAAAGACCCTGTTTTCAAATAAGGCCACATTCTGAGGTTCCAGGTGGACATGAATTTGGGGAGGACATTATTCAACCCAGTAGAGGAGCCCAGAGTGCATCGGTGGCCCAGTGGAGCCATGCGACCTCAGGGTGCAGCCCCAGGCCCACCTCCTCCGAGGGATCTTTCCTGGGGCCCTTGGCCTGCTCCTTCCTGCTTGGTTGCCTTCCCTTGGGAACTGTAGGGTTTTAGCATTTCCTGAAAAATCTAAAATTTCTGCTGGGCACATATCCACCCAGAGGAATCCTGAATCATCATGCAGCTAGGCTATTGTGTAAGATTGGCATTTAAGCAAGCTCGGGTCTCTCCTAAACTGAAACAAAACCCCTTCTTCTCATGTCCCCCCCCTGCTCCTGCCCCAGCCCCACCCCAGCCTAAGCTGGTTGTGAGAAGACGTCTCACTGGGTCCATTTCCACCCCACCCTTCCTCCCTCTAAAGCCTGACTTCCGTTTCTTCTGGTGATTCCCATGTTGCCACGTCCAATGGACGCGTTTAGTCCTCATCTGTCTAAAGCATCTGACCCCACTGACCCTGCCCTCCTTGAAATCCACTTTTTCTTTGGCTTGTACAACGTCATTGTCCCTAGTCCCCTCCTACTTCTCTAGCTCTTCTTGTTCAGTCTTGACCTTTGAATGGCAGAGTTTCACAGGCTCTGACCTTCACCCTCTCCTCTTCCCATTTCCCATTCCACACCTTCAGCTCCAACCACCACCTGAGTCCTGATGAAGTCACATTCCAGATATCCAACCTGGCACCTTCACAGGAGTACCTCAAAGTCCCCAGACCCATCAGCCAGGGCTTGCCACAGACACCTCTCTCCACTGCTTCCTCCCGCTGTGCCCGTGAAACCTAGTCTTTCTTTGGTGTTCCATTTCAGTAAGTGGCAGCACCAGCATCCATGTGGGGGCCTGTGAGTTTTCACAATCTTTCATCTCTCTCCTGGCCCACATTCAACTCACAAGCATTGCTTAAAACTGCAGTGGCTTTTCTGGCCTTGCAGGATGAAGATGAGCCCCAGGTGAGGCCACAAGGCTCCTCAGAGCCCAGCCCTTGCCCACCCTTCCAGCTCTAGAGATCACTCCCCCCCACTTGCTGCCCTCCAGCCCCCCGGCCTTCTCTGCTTGCCCTGCTCCTCCAGCTGCGGGGTTTTAGCCCTCGCAGTCCGCCCCCTCCCCACCTGGGAGCACCGTCCTGC